TCTCACTATGTATTCAATATGTAGCTCTTTCACTTTGATGGGAGTTCTTCTGTTCCCTTCTCTCACTCCATGAGTCATTGCATTTAGAAAAAGCTTTTTTTCACTTTAGATGGAACTAGTCAAAGGTAACGTAGTTCTTCACCTTGCTGCTAGTGCAAGTTCCAGGCTAGCACTTTGTGGAGCAGCCTGTTTCTCTGTGATTAAGAATGAGATGTCCTCATCTTGCATTAATCCTTCATTAATCCTTCAGAGCTTCCTAACAGAAATTCCCAGAGAAACTACAGCTGACTGGTTTTGCGTATTTTTAGAGTCCTTCTCATCAGTATATTTAACTCTGTATTACATCTTTTCACAAGATGCTCCAGGCTGCCTGTGATGTGCTACTGGGATGGGCTAGCATATTTAAGGTAAACTGGTGGAAGCAGGTTCGACAGGGGGAGAAGTCATGAAGGAGGGGAATTGGTTTGGAGGCTAGTGGATATGAAATATTTGCACGGCTGTAAGACAATCTGAAGGGGAAACAGCGCACGCTTTCTGTGTATGTGTACATACATATTTGTGCGCACACAGGGTTGATGTCTTTGTCAGATGCGCAGGGTTATTTTCTGCTGCTTCTGGCAAAGAATCACTAATGGTTTAATAGCTTATCAGTGCTGTGCACAGAAACAAAGGTTTGGTACTTCCTGATGTTGTGTTTTATTTGCTTTAAACTGGAATTCACATTCTCATTAACATGAAACTTGGAAACTGAGCTGCCGGACCAGTCAGCTTTTTGAGATCAGTACAGAATTCCTGACTGTGAGCAGCTTGAAGGCAGTCCAGGCACTGCTTTCCTACTGTACAACCCCAGGGGTCTGCTCACCTCCTGAAGGAAGCTCGTGATAGTGCGTGGCCTGGGACAGATCATTGCTGAAGCACCTTGCTGCGAAGTGGCTAGGTTGTGCTACTCTCAGTGTATTTCTCTCCGTCAGCCAGGTTTGGCATTCTTTTTCAGGGATGACGGGCCAAATTCTACCCAGTTACATGCAGCGCTTTGCTTCTTTTCCAGCACTGCATGGTTTGGGGATGTTCTTTACATCTCCAGGTTTTGGAATTAAGTTGCTGTGAAAGAAAGTCAATATTAAAAAACATGGACTTCTTTTGGTCATCCTTTTTTGAATGAGTTTGTAGAGAGTCAGTTTCTAGAGAAGGGCTTGAAAACAAGACTGCTGTGGTCTCGAGATCCAGAAAGCATTTGACTGAGCAGCAGTGTAATGGTGTTTAAAGTCTTAGGATGTCTGAAAGGACCAGAATAGAATTTCTTTGAACATCCATTTTATGATTCCATCCAGTGCTGATGGTGTAGTCATGGTCCCACTGCAGCAGTGTCCACCAATGAACTGTGTACTAAAATCAGGGACAGAATTTAGACTTTTATAAGATGCCTAATTTTTTGCTATTGGCATAGTACTTCTTGTCAGATCTGGCATTATTCGGTAGAAAATACCCTTCCCCTTTAAGAACACTATTGTTTTAGCCTTTTTTTTCCCCTCCTGTTTGCCTTTTCCTTTCTCTATTTCTCACCCTTTTTCCTGGCCTCTACACCTACTCTTTTCTTCCTCCAACACTTCTTTCCCTGCAGTCAGTCCACATTCCTATCTCCTGAACCATTACTCCCACCCTCTTTCAGACCACCAAAGCACTCGGCAGTTGTGCTACTACACTGGGCACTGCTGCTTTCTCTGGGACACTGATGGGAGTGAAGACATTTGCGGTCCCAGGTATGCCTCCCTCTGGTTTAAACTTCAGCTCCTTTTGGTTTGCTTTAGGATTATGCATCAGACATTTGTGATTCTCTCAGTTTTGGCATGCCTGAGTTTTAAAAGGGAGCAGTTGTGTGTTTCTAGGTGAGCTGCTGATTAAGGAGGGGGTTTTTAGCTTTCCTTGTGAGTCTTGGTTCTCAACACTTTTTTTCACCGCTGAAAATGACGGGCTTTTTCAGGGATGAAAAAGATATATTTTCCCCTGCTGCAAATAAATGGATGAGTGAGTAGTGCAGGCATTTTGTTGTTGATGAAGCATGAGCTTGCCTGCCTGTAACATCCTCCTTGTTCTGAGGTGGAGAAACAGAGTGAGTCTTTTCTGAAGCACTGAAAGTGACCTCTTGAATCCCCTCCAGGCTGCAAGACAGTGGATACAAGGTGCTTGTACAAATGGCTCTTTTGTACCGTCTTCAGAAATACTAAGTCTTAAGCCTCCCACCTCAAAGAGAGAATTGATGTTATTCATTTGTTTTGGTGGATTTGCCTCTCTGAGTACCTGTGGTGGGTCAAAACTCAGCTGATTCCCAGGTGCTGCTTGTTGTTTTTGTCAGTTGATGAGTGGTTGAAAGAATTTATTTTGTTAGTTCTTCCTCAGAGACAAGAAGCACCTCTAGCTGCGGCAATGGGAGGTGGTCCTGTCCTTACCTTCTTGCCTGGCTGTCCCGCCACCAGTGCAAGGCAGCAGAAGTGGGCAGGGGCTCCTGCTGCTGCCCCTGTGTCCTGCCGGTTTGTCTCAGCCCTCGTGTCTCAAACTGGCCTGGGGTGACTAGATATGTATTTTCTCCTGCCAGCTGCACAGAAACATGTGGTAGAGGGGTAGAAATGTCTTGAGCAGCCGGGGCTGTTTTGCTTCAGAGGACCTGCATCAGAGCTCTTGCATAAGCCAGTTCAAGATTTACCAGGCTTGCCCTGCTGACCTGCTTTCAGGTGGATGGTGTAAAACCCAGCCAGCCTCAAGCTCTTCTGCATGACTGCACTCTGCAACCCACACTGGGTGGCTCAGCACATGGAGCTGCCCTACAGGATGCTAGTTATTTAATACCAAAAGCTTCTCAACTGCCATAAACCACATCAGTGGAAAAGTCCAGGTATTTTGCCCTTTAACATAGACTTTGAAAAACAGTTGCATGAACTCTGTTTCACTTGATGCCACAGAAATGAGGGAATGAGGAAGTGCAAAATGATGCCTTCGTCGGGATCGACTGTGCCTTGTTGTTTCCCAGGTTGGATGTACTAGACATGATACAAAGTCTGCTGTGCCACTGCCTGTGTAACCAGCGGGTTGTGCAGCTGAGAGCAGTTGCTGAGAGGTGTGTGTTTTCCATGTGCTCTTTCACAGATGCTGCAGTCAAGATTTTATGTGTATTTCCTTTTTTTCCTGCAAATAAGCCAGGTTGCTTGGTTTGTGGAGCCAGTGGGCTCTGTCAGTGGAGGCTGTGTGCTCTGGGAGTAGCTGTCTCCTGCTCACACTTCAAGAGCAAACTCAAACCAGACCAGTGGCACCAGCTGTCAGTGAGGACTTCCCCAAACATGTTGGCTGCTTCTGCTGTAGTGATTGTCAGTCTTTCTAAGCGGGGGAGAATGTCAGTGTCCTCCTCTTGTGTCAGTATTTCAGCAGGGGCTTTCCAAAGCAATCTCTGGGCAGAGGTGAAGAAAGGAAAACGTTTCGCTATAAAGGAGATTACTTAAGAAAACAGTGAAAATAGTCTGCTTGAAATATATACATCAGTCCTTGGGCTGACTGCAGAGAAGCTTGGAAGAAAGAGGGCAGGCCTGCTCATTAGCTAAGCATGTGCTCCCATGCTGCTTGATACAGCTGGGTAGGGTTCCCATTCAGACTACTGGCCCTGAGTCCATCTCTGATCTGAATAGTCGTGGTAATTTTTCAATGAGCTAAGAGCAGCCACAATATACTGCAGCTTCCTGCTGCCCCACGTTGGTTTGGGGGACAGCTGGGACCTCATTCTCACAGTTTTGAAAGCAAAGATAAAACCCTTGACTTGCTAAAAAGGAAAGATTTTTCCTTTTTTTTAAAAATCAGCTACCTGGGTCTACAGTGACCGAGCACCGCACAAATGAGCTGATGCGGCTGTCAAAATCTGCCTTATACTTCCTTTTCAGTGGGATATTGTGTTGGCCCACAAAAAAAGTCTGGCAGGCAGCAGGGCAGCAACACGTTGCCTGCCCTGACCCAGCTGCCTTGCCTATTCTATGTCAATAGCTGATGTACTTGCAGAACGAGCAGCTCTTAACACTGCGGTTCACAGGCTGGTAAACCCAGCACAATTTCAGGTTTGCTTTCAAATGCTGGACTGTAACCTGCAGTGTTCAGCAACCACTTCATTTTCCTTGTCAGTACTGTCATGTTGAGGTCTGCTTGGAGAAGCCCTCATTGCCCTTGCTAGTGCAGACATGTCAGCCTTGGATTGCCAGATCTGCCACCTCCAATCTCACCATTAAAGAAAACCCCAGCCCTGTGCATCATTAATCACTTGGGAGACTATAATCTGTGAATTTCCCTATCTTTGGTACAGTAGCTTTTAAGTCTGGACTAGCTCTCCAGAGGTAGCAACAAGACTGATGGCAACTTCACCACTGAATTTTTAACCCTGGTGTGACTGCTGCTTTGTTCAGTGCTCTGTGCTGGTGAAATAAAAATGCTGGCAATAATTTGTGATTCTGCGTTATCGTGTAGAGCCCCCATGCTGCAGATTTTCTCATTCAGGCTCAGCTGCACACTATTGGAGCACTCAACTAGAAAAGACACATTATTAACCTTGAAGCACACTCATTTTTCTTCGTCCAGTGTTTCACAGCCATGTCAATGCAGCACTCTGCAAGGTGGGGCAAGGAGCTGATAGGCAGCACTTGAATTTTTTTCATTAAAAAATCAGGTTTGCAGATAACCGTAAAATGAGTGTCAACAGCTTTCCCAAATAAAGCATTGGGATAGATATTTGACTGCTTTTGGCCGTGCCACTGAGCTCTGCTTCCCAAGCCCTTGAATTGGTAGCGATTGCAGACTTCAGGTGGGCACAGACACTGCAGAAGCACCTCTTTGACATAATTCAGCTACATGTGCCCTGCAGATGGAGAAAATCTTGTCTTTTTTACAAACAGGTCCCCATGGGGAGCCCTCCCTCCAGCCTCAGCCAGCCAGAGACCTCTCTGCTGACTCTCCTCTCCTCTTCCCTGCAGTTCTTCACAGAGTACGGTCCTGATTATGTGCTGGAGATCACACCCAGCTGCAGACCAGACCGCAATGAGCCACAGAGAATTCAAGAAATTCTTAACTCTATCAAAGGTGAGTTGTCCAAGCCCACACTCCTGCTTCAGGCTTACAGGTCTTTTAGAGAGGACTTCAGGAAAGCTCACTGGAGTCTTTCTCACTGACTAGAAAGATGAACCACAGTCACTTGACTGCTCATTGTGTACAATGTCATCTGTCTTCTGCTTCACTTGGGGTTCTCAGTGTTAGTAGCACATCAGCTCAGAGCTGTGGGTCCCTGTTAGCAGAAGTTGCCATTGCCTTTCCTCTGGCTGGGCAGAGGAGCACGAGGCCTCACCTTACTAGAATCATAGAACAGCCCAGGTTGTAAGTGGCTTCAAAGATCACCTGGTCCAACCTTTTGCGGGAATGGGAGCTCAGAGAGATTATCTAGCACCCTGTCCAGTCACATGTGGAAAACCTCTAGCAATGGGGACTCTACCACGCCCCCAGGGAGGTTGTTCCAGTGTTTGATTGTCCTCACTGTAAAACATCTCTTTCTTATAAGGTGAAACCTCTCCTGGTGCAACTCATACCCGTTGCCGCTTGTCCTCTCCATGTGGCTTCTTGTGAAGAGAGCGCCTCTGTCCTCTCTGTAGCTGCCCTTCAAGTACTGGAATACTGTGGTGAGGTTTCCCTGAGCCTTCTGTTCTCCAGGGAGGAAAGACCCAACTCCATCAGCCTTTCCTCACAGGGCAGGGTCTCCAGCCCTTTGGTCATCTTCGTGGCCCTCCTTTTGGACCCTCTCTAGTCTGTCCATGTCTTTTTTTGATTTGTAATGTGGGCACACAGTACTCCAGATGTGGCTGACAGGCGTTGAGTAGAATGGGATGGTCCCGTGTCTATCTCTGCTAGTAATGCCCCTGCAGATGCTGTCCAGGATCCAAATTGCCTTTGTTGGTGCAGTGGTGCACTGCCAGATCACGTTCAGCTTGCTGCCCACCAGGTCGTTTTCAGCAAGGCTGCTCCCCAGCCGCACAGACCCTATCCTGAGCTGAGCTCTTTGGTTATTCTGTCTCAGGTGCAGGACCTTGCCCTTGTCTTTGTTAAACTTCATACTACTTTATTTTGTGTAAAGCTTGGCGTTAGGTAATTTCACTGAGTGCGATCTTGTTCTTCTAAATAAGAAACACCAAGTAACTAGTTGTTGTTCACCTTCCCAATGCTAACCTGTGTCGCACTTCCACCACCACTTTTTCACGCTGAAGGGCCTTGATCTGCTCCATCTCTACAAGGAGCACGTCTTTATCTGGGATTAACTGGATGCAGCAGCAGTTTTATAAACCCTCAGAACTTGCTGCAGTTCCCAAAGTTGAAATGAGAAAGATGTCCCAGCTCCTTTGAGGAGAAAAATATGAGTTTCTATTCCATTACTTTTTACTTATTACCTAGGTTATAACAGCATTACACCAAGAACTGATACTCCTTAGGCCAAGCTGGAAATGTATCAAGTCATGTGCCACTGAGACTTTCACATCCACTGATTTGGAAAAAGGAAGCAAAGAGCAAAGGATTTGAAAAATCAGTTAAAGTCAGCTGGATCTTTACAGGGGACTGATTTTCAGCGTCTCGCACAGAGATCACAAGAGGTGGTGGACAGGTTGGCATGACAGCAGTGCCTGGCATACACCTGTTGGTACAAAGCAGTGGGCACACACCTGCACTGGGCATTGAGAAAAGATTGCAGGTTCCCCTGTCTTGGTAGGGCTGAAAGCATTTTGTGAGAAAGAGTCTTCTGCAAAGTCAAGAGCATATTGCTGCCCACTCTGCAGAGCATTGTCCTGGGGACAGACGCTGTTCTGAAAATCCATTATGTGTGGTACAAGGAGTTGCTGAGGGTCTGGTTCATTACAGAAGCTTGAGGACAAGACGGTCATCTCCTCTGTCCTGTCCCGCCATGTGGCACTCAAAATGAGGAGTGGCTTGCGGTTGGTGCCTTGGAATTGCAACTCCTTGGAGACAGTGTAGGGGAAGGAAGGGAACTTCAGGCTGCCGTGGCACTTCTGTCCATCATTTCTGCCAGCACCAGCTCGTGAAGCCTGCTGAGGAAGGCAGGGGCTTATAGGAAGGATGTCAGGTGAGAGGAAGCACAATCTGGGAGGACCCCACCCTCTCCCTGGCCACATCTGGAAGCCTCGTGGGGAAGCAACAGACAGTGAGTGGGTCTTGGGTGAGAATGGACTGTTCTGGCCAGCCTGGTCTGGCCTGTAGGACGTGCATGACACTGCACAAGATGAGTCCTTGTGAAAGGACCAGTTTAATAGGAGCCATATGCCCAAACTCTTTAAACCTTCTCTCACAGACAGCCTAAATGAAAATCAGGGTTTTTTGAAGTCTTCCTGACAGCTGGCCACAACATGCCTGGTAGTGGCTTGCACTATGCTTCTGTTACCTTGTTAATAAGAGGGTTTTAGAGGTAAGGTCAGATTTGTGAAGAATTGGTGACGCTGCAGATAAACAGTCAGTTGTGATGACAGATCATACTTGAAAAATATAGTTGTCATCGTATTTGAAAAGTCATGACAGTCAGGTGAAGTTCCCAGTGACTGGAAAACAGGGAACATCATGCCTATTTTTATAAATGGTAAAAAGGAGGACCCTGGGAACTACCAACCAGTCAGCCTGTCCTCTGTGTCCAGTAAGATCATAGAGCTGATCCTCCTGGAACTCTTTGGATGCACCCATCCAGCCAATTCCTTACCCATCTAATACTCCATCTATCAAACCCATACCTCTCCAGTTTAGAGACAGGGATGTTGTGTGTGACCATGTCAAAGGCCTTACAGAAGTCCACATAGATAACATCAGTTGCTCTTCCCCTATCTACCAATGCAGTCACTCCATTGTAGAAGGCCACTAGATGAGTCAGGTATGAATTGCCTTTTGTGAAGCCATGTTGGCTGTCTCTAATCACCTCCCTGTCATCCATATGCCTTAACATAAGTTCCAGTCAATAGCTCAGTGTCCAAGTGGGAATTGGTAACGAGTTGTGTCCCTCACGCGTCTGCACTGGGATCAATACTGTTCAATATCTTTATTAATGACATGAAAGTGGGATTGAGTGCACCCTCAGCAATTTTGCAGATGACAGCAAGCTGAGTGGTGCAGCTGATGTGCTTGAGGGAAGGGTTGCCGTCCAGGGGGACCTCAACAGGCTGGAGGAGTGGGCCCATGTGAACCTCATGATGTTCAACAAGGCCCAGTGCAAGGTTCTGCACCTGGGTTGGGGCAACCCCTGGTATCAATACAGGCTGGGGGATGAAGGGATTGAGAGCAGCCCTGCCCAGAAGGACTCGAAGTTGCTGGTGGGTGAAAAGCTGGACATGAGCTGGCAATGTGCACTCGCAGCCCAGAAGGCCAACCGTGTCCTGGGTGTGTCCCCAGCAGTGTGGCAGCAGGCTGAGGGAGGGGATTCTCTCCCTCTGCTCTGCTCTGGTGAGACGCCCTGGAGCACTATGTCCAGCTCTGGGGTCCCCGGCACAAAGAGGACATGGACCTGTTGGAGCAGGTCCAGAGGAGGCCACAGGAACGGTCCAAGGGCTGGAACCCCTCTGCTAGGAAGAAAGGCTGAGATTTGTGGTTGTTCAGCCTGGAGAAGAGAAGGCTCCAGGGAGACCTTATTGCAGCCTTTCAATATATAAGGAAAGATGGAGAGAGACTTTACCAGCGCCTGTAGCGACAGGACAAGGGGCAACAGTTTTAAATTGAAAGAGGGTAGGTATAGATTGGCCATAAGGAAGAAATGTTTTTCGATGAGGGTGGTGAGGCACTGGAGCAGGTTGCCAGAGAAGCTGTGGATCCTCTGTCCCTGGAAGTGTTCAAGGTCAAGTCTGAGCAACTTCATCTAGCGAAAGATGTCCCTGCCCATGGCAGAGGGGTTGGGCTAGATGGTCTTCAAAGGTCTGTCCCAACCCAAACCTTCTGTGATTCATTTGATAAGATGAAACACTTCCTGGACGTGGTTGTGGGTGTCATCAGCCTCAGACATGTGCCCACGCAGAAGCTCCCTTCAGAGGAAAGCAGCTAATTACAGCTAGACAGAAAAAGCTGGGTGTGTGAGCCCAGGTCTCAGCCTGGATGCAGGGAAGGTACCATGGCTGGGATTACTCTGTCAATAAGAGAGAAATCTCATAGCCTACTGCCTAGTGCTGGGGGTTAATGTTTGGATGCAGGAGGACCTGGAGGCTGTGTAGGACTGAATGAGAAGCAGTTGCTTTCAGGGGATATGTTCCAGCTGCTTCTGATGCATGGCTTTCATTCCCTCTTGTACCACATTGTCAGAGTTCAGGAGAGGAGAGCTCGCATGTTTAGCCCTTCCCCTGCACCATGGCTAGCTTTTCAGTTCCCCAGCCTAGTTTTTTCCTAGCCTCTCCAGTTCCCAGCCCAGTTTTGACTCCTAGACGTGCTTCCCAGTTGCTGACAGTCCCTTTACCACAGCTTGGTGAACTACCACTTCCCACACGTACACTCATCATCCTGAGGGAGCAGCAGTGCCACAGCCACTGCAAGTGCTGGATCTGGTGGGAATGTGTGTTTTGTGCCTAGGAAGGCTTTCGGGCTTGCCGAAGGAAATGGATTTAGTAGCCGTGGAAGGGAGACAGGTGGATCCCAGATATCTTTGTCTTCTCTGATAGTACCTCTCAAAAGAGACAGATGTGTGCTTGGGGACCAGCTGGCACGAATGTGGTCTGTGCCCCAGACAGGCTGCTCATCTGCTTGGGAAGGAGTCTTGAGACCCCAAGCTTGGTCAGCCCTGCATGCAGTGCTCGACTAGTCCATGCTGCATTTTTCCGTGCAGTGGCCAAGATGCCTCCCATGTAGATCCAGACCTGTGGGTGAGCACCTAAAGCCTTCCCAGCCAGCATCACGTGTGGCTGAAAAGGAGCTGGAAGCTAGGGTGCTGGATAGCAGGATTCCCTCTGTCATGCCACCTGCTGAGAGGAAAACTCATGCTTGTGGCAGAGGGGAGAGTGGAGAAACCCTGTTCCTCCCTCCCCAGCCATTGTGGAGAGGCTGGTCCAAGAGCCCAGTGCTTTCCAGGACTGGTTTTCCCTGCAGTGAGTTTTCCGCTGTGCTTGCAGTGGCAGTGCTGAAGGCAGCAGGAGCAAGTGGGGCAAAGAGGGTCTGTCCCCCTCAGTAGTGAAACAGTGACAGATGGAGCAAGGCAGAACCACAGCCCCTACCTGGGCTGCACCAAGGGGATGCGGCACTGCCAGCACTGGGAGAATAGGCCTGCTGGACGTGGGGCAAGGGGACGGACAGGCTGACGGCAGCACAACCATGTCTTCTGCTCTTAACTCTTGACTCCCAACGATGCTTTGCTGCCTGCTCAGCTGTGATAGCAGCTGCTGGGCTTTCCATCCCCTCCTGCTCCAACAACTATGGCCCCAGCTGCTGTGTGGAGCAATTGGTGTGAATGCAGACTATCCAGTCCCCTGGAATGCAGGAAGAGTCTTTATGATTTGCTTGGGATGTGAACCACCGGTCTAAAGGGAAATTGTGGGTGGGGTAGGGTAACAGGGGGATGACAGGGACTGCCAGCCCAGCCTGCAGGCTCTCTTTAACACACTTAACTGCTCAAGAATTGAGCGTCAGCTGCCAAGTGCTCTGCCCAGGGTCCTGCAAAGCCCCAGCTACTCTTTTTTTATTTCAGGCCTAGCAAGAGACCTTGCTCTGCCTTTGGCAGGAGTGTGTGTGTAGCATCCCTGGGCCTGGCTCCTGTGGCACTGGCACCCCATCGGCCTGTGGGGCAGAGCCAGAGCCACCTTGCTCCTCTCAGAGCTGTGTGGAGGGCTGGGGCCTGCCTGAGGGCCAAGGAAGATGGTTCCCCCTTGGTCTCCATGCATTTCCTCAGGAGCTGGGACAGACCTCTAGCCAGGCAGGAGACTGAAAACTGTTGGAGTCCAGGGCAGGCAGCTGGGTGAGCCCTGCCAGCTCCTGCCAGCCTTGTTCCATATTCTTGGCCATCTGTTTTGTCCCTGTCCCCAGGAGGAGCTGGGGGTAGCAAGACAGGGCTCAGCAGCCATTTTTACTCTCTGTGCATATTGTGATGTGTTGGTGTTAGAAGTAGAGTAGGACGAGGTGGGTGGGAGGGAGGTGCAGAGGCTGTGGACGCCCTGGAGTGTCCATTCCCAAGCACAGGCCAATCCTAGGGAGTGGACATCCCCCCTGACCTGTCCAGGAGGGGAGCAGGAACAGCATTGCTCCAGAGCTGGAAAGGAGTGCGTCCAGGCTGGAGCAAGGACAAGGCAGCAGGGAGTGAGCGTGTGCCCTTCTGGTGCTGACCCATAAATCCTGAACCAGCAATCAGCCTGCAGAAGAAACTCATAGCAGAAGTGGTGGCAGGGTCTCCCTTTGATAGTTCCCCAAGTCTAGCTCGGAGGAGGGCAGCAGCCTCTATGAAGGGAGCAAGGGGCCAGTAGGGACCAGGGTCTGCGCTCAGGCTGGGATTGCTGTATCACTGTCTGGTCCATCAGGCGTAGAGGTGGCACCCCCACCCCTGGCTGCACCACTCCATCAGGCTGAAGTGTCAGTGGAAATATCCCTTTCTGCCTCCTTTTTGCAGGGAATCTGAAGCATGTTGTTTAGTGGAGAAGGTTTCCACAAGAGCATTTCCCATGGGGAAGATGGCGTGTTTGTGTGAGCAGCTGGTGAAATTTGTGGCTATGGAGGAAATTTGGAAGAAATTACTGTTGGTTGATTGATATTTTTCTCTTTAAAGAAGAAAAGCTGCTGCGCACCACGAGCACCGTTGCTCTCCCCATGCAGCAATGTGGGCCTTCCAGCCACAGCCTTCCAGTGCCAGCAGAGCCTCCCTTGCTCCTTTCTCTTTCCTTTTTTAACACCACAGAGTTTATTCTCACAACTGGTTTTAAATGTTTTTTTTAAGAGAGGGGCTGCTAAGAGTTGTGAACCCTCCCCAGCTGGAGCCCAGCACTGCGTTGCTTTCCTGGTAGGAGCATGGCCTCTGAGCTGCCCACCCGGGGAGTGGTGTGAAGGGCCAGCTGGGTCCTGGGGCACAGACTATGCTTTTTACCCACAGAAAGGCATAGCCATTATGTTTTTTACTGGGATTTTTTTTTTTTTTTAAATAAAGTATTTGAAATACTCCTTCAGCCCTTTCCTTTCTTTCTGCGCCCACCCTGCCTTGCCAGTGCTCTTTTCCACAGCGCTTCACGCGTTCAGTGGAGGTCCAGCCAGCGCTGGAAGGCAAAAATCTGCAGTTGTGTTTGTGATGGTCCTTTCCAGCCCCATCATGTAAGACAGCACAGACCCCACCACCAGCGCAATGAGTGGGCTCCTGAAATCCTGTGCGGATGGGCCAGACCCTGGGGATGGCTCTCCAGAGCGTTGAGCAAGATGCAGGGCAGGGTGGCAGCTCCTGTCCCAGGAGATCTCAGATGAACCTCCAGGTGCTCTAGTGGCCCATGAGAGCTGCCACTCAGCATCTCGGCAAGGGGACAGGTACATAGGTATCTGGGGCAGGTCCCTCCTGGAGCCTCTGGCTGTGGAGCCTGGCCTCTGCTGCCCTTGTCCCCTCCTTCAGCTGGCCCACAGAGCTTTTATTTGTGCTGTTTCTTTATAAAGATGTCCAGTTGCTGTGGGAAAGTGTACTTCCTGTTGCTTTAAATAATTACACTGGAATAAATAGCAACACAAAGGGACTCTCAGCCTTGCCTGGCTTTGTTTTGATCTCTTGTTTTTCACTGCCAATGCAAACAACAGGAGATCCAGTGTGGAGTGAGTTGAGCTGGATGCAGCTCCCATGTCCCTCGGAGCGACTTCTGCTTCCCCCCATGTCCCGGGTGCTTGCTGCGGTGGGGTGAGACCAGCCTTGTGCAGAGACCACTGGCAGGAGGCTGGCGCTGCCACTGGCACAGCAAAGGCTCTCAGTGCCCAGAGGAGATGTCAGCCCTGCGGATCGTTCAGCCAGGAGAAAAGTGAGGAATGAGAGAGCAGAGAAGCTAGACAGCTGCCCCCTCCAACCCACCTCGGGGCCCACATGCTCTGTCCCCGCACCAGGCCCCGAAGGCCCTGCAAGCTGCAGGAGCTGGTTCAGGAATACAACTAGGAAAACAACAGGAAACCCCCCAAGTGTCAAACATTGCTGCACTAAATGGGGTTTAGGTGAGGTGCAGGGAGAGCTGCACTTGGGGATGGGACTGTAGAGATGTGGCACCCTAAACCAGGCAGGTTGCCCACCCACAGACAGCTGGGAAACTGAGGCACAGGGTAAAGTACCCCCTCCACCATCTCCATCCACACCCCTGAATGCGGAGAAACAATTGGAGCTCAGCTCTGTGCAAAGCAAGAAGAGCACAAAAGGTGGGACAAAGGCTCAGGGGGTACCCCCAGTGCCCCCTCAACTGACCCCCTCACACCCAAATTCCCCTCCGGCTGGCTGAGGGCATCAGCCCATGTTACCCTGGCCAGCCCTGGCATGAACTGAACCCCTTCTTGCCCCCACCCTGGATAGATGTTACAAGTGTGTCCCAGCCTGGACGGGGGGTAGGGATTGGGGGTCTCAGCCTGGATGGGGGGGACATGGGGGTTCCCACCCAAGAGGTTAGGAGGCAGCTGGGAGAACATGGGGGGTTTGGAGGTGTGCAGGCTGGATGGGGAGGCATGGGAGGTACCAGCCTGGGTGGGGTGACATGGCAGGTCCCAGCCTGAACGGGGAGGGCACGGAAGGACGCAGCCTGCAAGAGGGAGGCACGGGGGTCCGGAGGGGCAGGCGGTGCCGGCGCCGCCCCTGGGGGC